GCGGGGTCTTTGCAGTCTCTTCAAAGTCTTGATCTCAGTTGGAATTCCCTGATGGGAGATATAACGCCGGAGCTTGGACAGCTGCAGCGGCTAGAGGTATTAAACCTCTCCCATAATATGCTGTCTGGTCTCATTCCAGCCGGTTTTAGTAGACTGCAAGGCCTCACTAAAGTGGATGTATCCTTTAACAAGTTAGAGGGTCCCATTCCTGACATCAAAGCCTTTCGCGATGCGCCATTTGAAGCAATTCGCAACAACACCAACCTGTGTGGCAATGCTACCGGTTTGGAGGCTTGTTCTGTTCTCATGAAAAACAAAACTGTGCACAAGAAGGGCCCCAAAGTTATCATTTTGACGGTCTTTTCTCTACTGGGTAGTTTGTTGGGCCTGATTGTAGGTTTCCTTATCTTTTTCCAAAGCAGAAGAAAGAAAAGGCTAGTGGAAACACCACGAAGAGATGTTCCCGTGGGATGGTGCACTCGTGGGGATCTGCGCTCCGAGGACATCATTGAGGCTACTGAGGAATTCGACTCCAAATATTGCATTGGTACTGGAGGGTATGGAGTTGTTTACAAAGCTGTTCTTCCATCAGAACAAGTCCTTGCCGTGAAGAAATTCCACCAAACACCAGAAGTTGAGATGAGCAGCTTGAAAGCTTTTAGAAGCGAGATTGATGTCTTAATGGGTATACGGCATCGAAACATTGTGAAGCTGTATGGTTTCTGCTCGCATGCCAAACATTCATTTTTGGTATATGAATTTGTGGAAAGGGGAAGTTTAAGAAAGGTACTGAACGACGAGGAACAAGCAGCAAAGATGGATTGGGATAAAAGGATGAATCTTATCGAAGGCGTAGCCAATGCTTTATCCTACATGCACCATGACTGCTCCCCTCCGATTATTCATAGAGACATTTCCAGCAACAATGTTCTTTTGGATTCAGAATATGAGGCTCATGTCTCTGACTTCGGCACAGCGAGGCTCTTAATGCCTGACTCATCCAATTGGACTTCATTTGCTGGCACCTTTGGGTACACAGCTCCAGGTATGTAGTTAAGTTTCAATATCACCTTCTACAGTAGGTTAGTTTACAAATCACTAGAAAACAAAATAGGTCCAGTAAATTATTTTGGCAAAATATAGCATGACCAGCCTCTTTTGCAGAGTTGGCATACACAATGAAAGTGGATGAAAAATGTGATGTGTATAGCTTTGGAGTATTAATATTGGAAGTAATGATGGGAAAGCATCCTGGCGATTTCATCTCATCTCTGATTTTATCTGCTTCCACCTCCTCATCGTCACCAATCGGTCACAATACACTCTTGAAGGATGTCTTAGACCAGCGCCTCCCACCTCCTGAAAACGAGCTTGCGGACGGTGTGGCACTTGTTGCAAAATTAGCGTTTGCTTGCTTGCAGACCGATCCCCACTATCGGCCAACAATGCAACAAGTTTCTACAGAGCTTACAACTCGTTGGCCTCCATTGCCAAAGCTATTCTCCACGATAGAATTGGAAGATATACTGGTTCATAGAAAGGTTATTGGCTGAATTTTTACAGTATACTTGGGCGTCTTGTGTAAAACAACTTGTGTGACAAAATTTAATATTCAATAAACCCTCAAGAGGTGTTATTCCGTCCAAAGCATCATTTTAGATGAACTTGGTGAATGTCATGAATCATGTAATTTATTGCCTTCATTTGTATCAATTGCCTTCATTTGTATCAATTGCCTTCCTACTACATTTTTTTTTTGGAGAGTAATAAACAATCCAAATGCCAACACAAAGACCGTACAATATTGATGAATAAAATTTCCACAGTCAAACCAAACTCGTCCTGAAATTCCATATTTATTCCTCCGGGTCTAAAGAGGGCTTCCCTCTTAGAAAGAAACAAATAAGTAATACAGGCTCCTTAAGTACAGAAGCTACGCAGAAAAGCTTTCAAACTTGCTTTTGAAATATTGCACAATATTTAAATCACACGTTGCAAAAACATGTCAGTTCTTCACCTACATGTTCTTTCAAAGCACCAAATCTCTTACTCAAGAAGATTCAAGTCTTCAAGTATTATTTTGTAAAGAATTTACGATGTACCCACACACAATTTTAATAAAAACAAATATTTTCCACGCTATTATCTTATTATTTTTCAGGCTAACTTGGTTTGTACAATAAATATTATGCTAGAGGTTCAATGAGATTTAATCCATATAATAGGAGATAGCCATCCTCTAATCTCAAATCTCTACCCCCTCAACCTTTTCCAGGATTTGAATCTAAAAAACCTCATATTAAAAATTCAAAAAATCTAATAGATCTTGCCTTATGATAGCCTACTTCAGTTCCTTACGAAACTTTTATTATTGGTACATATTTTACGATGTACCCACACACAATTTTAATAAAAACAAATATTTCCCACACTTTTATCTTAGTATTTTTTAGGTTAACTAGGTTTGTACAATAAATATTATGCTAGAGGTTCAATGAGATTTAATCCATATAATAGGAGATTTTTTGTCATAGGGTCAATTTTTTGCTCTTGAAAACATACCTCGCACGACAGTCTACAGTCTAGTCCCGCTAGACTCAGTCTTTCCCTTACCGATTCACTCGTGTTTTGCCTACGACTAATTTGTTCCACAAACCCAAGAAATCCCCACACTTTTTCAATGTCACAAGCAAGTGGAATAACACTAATAAATATGAACTGAATGCACAACACAGTAGATTATAAGAACAAGTCACAACCTTTTCATTAACTCAATTAAAGGATTACACAAAATTCTTCTTGTGTGTTATGCCCATTCACGTTCTGCATGCTACCCATTTTACAGCCTATCTAATTACAAGATAATAGAAGTTACAAGTATAAACTGCCTCTAACTTCTTGCATAGCTGGAGCACCCATTATCCCATGTTCTGGCTACTTTCTTCCCCTCATAATAAACTGCTGCAATTATCAATAACTGCTCCCAAAATTGCCGCAACTGCATTGGCTTGTTCTCCCACAAGCCAACTGCCCATTGCCAGCACACATGCTACCAGTGTAACTGCCTTGCATGCCTTGGACCGTCTGCTGTCCAAGTTATCGTCAACCCCTAATGCCAATTTTGTCTACGCTAACGAATTCCTCAACGCTGCCGATTTCACCAGTGTTGCCGAATTCCCAACTGTCCCATTGTGTCATCCCAGCACTATTTCGTTAAGGCCTTGGACAATCCTCGCCCAAGTCTCAACTCTTATCAGCTTACTACTGTGTTAACTGTTGCATACTGTTGCACACGCATGATGCTAATTTTCGCTACTGTCATGTGAGCAGCCACCTCGTTGCTACTGTCTAGCAACACTTTTCGTCAGCTTACACCCTGACAGATTTTAACCCTGTGACAGCCATCCTCTAATCTCAAATCTCTACCCCCTCAACCTTTTCCGGGATTTGAATTTTAAAAACCTCGTATTAAAAATTCAAAAAATCTAATAGATCTTGCCTTATGGTAGCCTGCTTTAGTTCCTTACGAAACTTTTTTTATTGGTACATATTTCTAGCAATTTACATTACATCGTCAAATAATACAATTCTTGGATAAGAATCTACAATACACTTGAACACCCTTGTTTACGATCCCTGCTTCTCCGAGAAACTCCATTAGTATCTTCCCAAGATCAAGAAACTCCAAAACAAAGAACATTCAAAACCCTTTGCAACAACTAAAGAAAGATGTTTTCGTATACCTTACCTTAGCCCTCAAGCAAACTCCAACAGAACCCTAATTGAATATAACAGCTGAAAACATCCCAGTGAAGTGCTTGCGATTCAAAAAATGAAGTCTAATAATGGACTACTTGAAGCAAAGCAGAAGTTATGAGACACTTATGATGCGTCTGTTGTGGATGAAAAGGCTTTTTCCGTAGAAAGCTTTTTTCAAGACGAATAGGAACGTTGTGGTAGTTGATTTGAAACATAGGAATTGGAAGGATCGAAATTCAGAATGTCTGAAAAGCAATGATACTTGATATGAATCCAGGTGGTGTGGTTAAGGTCGGGGTGATGTGGATGGCGAGAGAGGAGATATTGGAGAATGTGATGGGAGCACTAAATGGTGTTGTGGAGATTCCCGGGAACTGGAAGAGGAAGAGGAAGTGGAAGATGAGAAAAGAGATTAAAGTAAGAAAGATGGGTAGCGTGTCGAAAGGAAGAGC